GGTTATTTGAGGTCTTTGTGGTTCCATATAAATTTTAGGATTGTTTGTTCTAGTTATGTGAAAAATTCTCTTGGTATTTTGACAGGGATTGCATTAAATCCATAGATTGCTTGGGGTAGTAGACATTTTAACAATATTGGTTCTTCTAATCCATGAGCATGGTATACCTTTCCATTTGTTTTTATCGTCTTCAGTTTCTTTCATAAACATTAAAAAATTTTCAGAGTACAGGCCTTTCATCTCTTTGGTTAAGCTTATTCCTAGGTATTTTATTCTTTTTGGTATAACTATACCAAATTATACTTAATTTTTCTGCTGCTTCATTATTGGTGTATATGGATTTCTATACATTGATTTTGTATACTGTGACTTTACTGCTACATTAGTGCTAGCAGTTTTTTGGTGGAGACTTTCAGGTTTCTATGTGTAGTATCATGTAATCTGCAAATAGTGAATATATGACTTCATTGCTGATTTGGATGCCTTTTATTGCTTTTTCTTGTCTGACTGCTGTCTCTAGGACTTCAACTGCCATATTGAATGAAAGTGGTGACAGTGGACATCCTTGTCTTGTTCCCGACTTTAGGGGGAAAGCTCTCAGTTTTTCCCATTGAGGATGGTATTAGCTGTGGGTTCTTCATATATGGCCTTTATTATGTTGAGCTGTGTTCCCTCTAAATCTACTTTGTGAGGGCTTTTATCATGAATGGATGTTGTGCTTTGTCAAATGCTTTTTCTGAATCTGTTGATATGACCATGTGGTTTCATCCTTTCTCTTATTGATGTGATACATTATGTTGATTGATTTGCAAATACTGAACCACCCTTGCATCCCAGGAATAAATCCCACTTGATTGTGGTGAGTGATTTTTTCAATGTATTGTTGGATTTGGTTTGCTGGTATTTTGTTGAGGATTTCTGCAACCATGTTCAGAGATATTGGCCTGTAGTTCTCTTGATAATCATCCTTTTTTAACCTAATTTCATCACAAATGTCAAGTTATGCTTGACAGACAAGAACAGAAGCCTTAATAAGCTGTCTAAATGGGAAATGAAAAGAGTTACTCTTATGTTCTATGGTTTCTGTTGGAAATTAGTTCTTGGGGATTTTAACTACATGATACTAAAAATCCAAAAATCAATTGCATTCTTAAGTCAGAAAGTATGGCTAAGATTATATTTCATTTTATTTTATTTTATTTTATTTTTTATTTATTTATTTCTAGGAGAGAGAGAGAGAGACAGCGTGAGCAGGGGAGGGTCAGAGAGAAAGAGGCTGTCACACACTGAAACAGGCTCCAGGCTCTGAGCTGGCAGTCAGCACAGAGCCCGACGCGGGGCTCGAACCCACGAGCCACGAGATCATGATCTAAGCGAAAGCCGGACGCTTAACTGACTAAGCCACCCAGGTGCCCCTAAGATTATATTTTAAAAATTAAAACAATAGGAAAAAAGAAGAAAAGATTAAAAGTCTCCTGAAATTGTGGCACCTGGGTGGCTCAATCAGTTAAACGTCCAACTCTTGATTGCAGCTCGGGTCACAAGCAAAGCTTGCTTGGGATTCTCTGTCTCCCTCTCTCTCTGCCCTTTCCTGCCACACACATGCACACGCACATATATGTCTCTCAAAATAAATAAATAAACATTTTTTTAGAAAAATCTCCTGAGATCAAGAAAAGCAAAACAAAGTTCTGTTGAATATTCCTTTCCATTCTTAACAGGAATGCAAACAGGTCTGCAGCATCTAAAGAACAAATAATAGGGGCACCTGGGTGGCTAAGTCAGTTAAGCGTCCGACTTCGGCTCAGGTCATGATATCACAGTTTGTGGGTTCGAGCCCCGCATTGGGCTCTGCGCTGACAACTAGCTCAGAACCTGGAGCCTGTCTTCAGATTCTGTATCTCTCTCTCTCTGACCCTCCCCTGCTCATGCTGTCTCTTTCTCTCTCTCAAAAATAAATAAAAATTAATTAATTAATTAATTTTAAAAAAAGAACAAATAAGTGAGCACCACAGCAATGATGCTGGGCTTCCGCTTTGGGGTGGGGTGGTAAAGGTCATGGCGGCCCATGCCACTACCAATGACAACTGCGGAGTCTAACAAATCACACAAGCCCTACTCCAAGGGCATCCACAAGCCACGGCAGTGCTGCATCGGATGGACTGAATGCCTGCGCAGGAACCGCACAGAGGTGAGCTGCCAAGGGGCACAAGCGTTTCCCAGAAGGATTTGCAAACCCTGGTCAGACCAGGGGCTGCTCACTGGCAATGGGGGATGGACACGGCCACTCTCTAGCCGCTCCACCGTGGGGCTCCCACCGAGACTGAGCAGAGACTTCTGGGCCCTGGGGCCTCTGCAGGGATGCAAGCTGCAGCAGGCCGCTGGCCCTCCCGTGGTGCTACACAGACGGAGCTTCACCCTCCAAATACCAGGACACAAAATCTAGCGATCTGTGTAAACAAGAGCATATTATGCCCAAGTTGGATTTATTTCAGAAATGAAACTTTAGTTTAACATTTGGAAATTTACTATATTAATAGAAAAAGAATATTGTATAATTATCCTGAAAAGCACTGACAAAATTCAACAACCACTTGTTATTTTTTTTAAAAGAAAAAATTAAAAAAAATTTTTTAATGTTTATTTATTTTTGAGAGAGAGAGAGAGACAGAGACAGAGCATAAGCAGGGGAGGGGCAGAGAGAGGGAGACACAGAATCAGAAGCAGGCTCCAGGCTCTGAGCTGTCAGCACAGAGCCCGACACAGGACTTGAATCCGTGAACCGTGATATCATGACCTGAGTCAAAGTTGGGCACTTAACTGACTGAGCCACCCAAAGTGCCCCCATAAAGAACTCTTAAAGCTTAACAGTATGAAAATAAACAACACAATTTTCTCAAAGGGCAAAAGACCTGAACAGACATCTCACAACAAAAATATGCAGATGGAAGATGAGCATATGAAAAGATTTGAACACCACACATCACTGGCGAACTGCAAATTAAAACAACATTAAGACCCCGCTGTACACCCTCTAGAAGGTCGAATCCAGGTCTCTGCCCACCCCCACACCCCACCCCACCCCTGACATGCTGGCCAGGACACAGAGCGACTCCCAGTCACGGCCGGCAGGAACGCAGGACCACGGGCATGGCCACTTTGGGAGATGGTTCGTCAGTTTCTTACAAAACTAAACATACTCTTACTATCTGATTCAGAAATCACCATCCTTGGTATATGCTCAACAGTGCTGAAAACTTTCGTCCACACTTGCACTTGCACGTGGATGTTTAGAGCAGATTTATTCCTAATTCCCCAAACTTGGAAGGAACCAAAATGTCCTTAGCAGGTGATGGACAGATAAACTCTGGGCCATCCATGCGTGGAATGTTAGTCAGCAGTAAAAAGACATGAGCCATCACGCCAAGCACTGGAAAAACCTCAAATGCATATTGCTAAGTGAAAGAAGCCAGTCTGCCAAGGCTACACGTGGCATGAGTCCAAGTCTACGACTTTCTGGAAAAGGCAGAACAACGGAGTGAGCAGAGATGGTGGTGGGCAGGCTTGGAGGGAGGGTAGGAGGGATGGATACAAACACAAATACAAACACGCTGCTCGGCACTGGGCCTACGGCAGCCGGGGTCGGTGCCTCCTGACGGAAGAGAAACAGGCGAGCTGGGCCCCGCCGTCCTCCGGACCAGGAGCTGCTTCCAGACCCCAGCACCGCGAGGAGGAGCCTACGCAGAGCAGGTGATTTTCCTACGTTAAGGAGACAGAGGTTACAACTGGGGGAAGACAGGCCAGCTCAAATTTGTGGGGGAAAGTTCTGGAGAGGAGGGAGCTCTGCACAGAAAGAGCTACGAACACCTCCGTGGAATTTCACAGGGTCCCCTTAAAAACAACGATATGATATAAACAAACGACTTTTCAATAATGAATGTGCTCACATGGTGCTACGGTGAATAGTATCACAAAGTAATGTGGAGAGAAATTAAATGAGCCCCACATATAGGGGACGATACAAGATTTTCATAAACGGGAAGCTTTAATATGGTTAAGATGCCAGTTCTCCCCAAGCTTCTATAGATCCAATACCATCCCAGTAAGAATCCCGGCCTGTTGTGGGTTCCTTTGCAGAAACTGACTTTCGTACTAAAAAATATAAAAGGGTATTCGCGTCAGTGGGAATTCTGCTCCCCCTGTGGGACCTGGCACCCTTCCTCTGTGTTTCCTCACATCTGTACGTATAAAGCAGACATGAACGCACGTTATTCCCCTCCAGTTTCACACTAAGTGCAGCACACTCTACACTGTTCTTGACCTTACTTTTTTCCAGGGAGCGGCGCATCCTGGAGATCACTTCCCATTTCCACACAGAGTGCGTCCTCTGTTTTCAAAGCCACTCCCCCCTCCACACACACACAAACAGCGGTCAGCAGCACAGCACAGTGAACTTCGGGTTAAGGGCCAGAAGGCATTTCCCCAGTGCAGCCATCACCCCGAGAACCGAGGTCTGAGGGGGCTCCCGCTGCTGACACTGAGCCGGTCCAGAAGGGCCATTCCCCACCCGTGTTCACGGGGTCCCCAAGCAGCCATCCGCACTCCTGCTCTGTGACATGCACCCTGTGACAGAGGCCAACGGCAATATTTAGGAGGGCAGGGAAATACACCTGGGAGGGGAAAAGCATGATATGGCCAGAGAAAAATGTTCTTACTTTTGAGTTTATTTTAATATGCTTCTAAAATTCAACTATTAACTGAAAATTTTGACCCTCTCTGCTTCTTGCCTACATACAGGGGAATGACGATGTCTCTATTATGTTTCTTTTTAATGGTTTTTTTTTATTCTATTATGTTTTTAAAAGAACACATACCAGAGTTTCTCGTTCTGCTGTTGATTCTGTTCTGCAATAAGGGGCCAAGTCCACATTAACTCTGTGACCAGGTCCCTCTTACCAAAGTCTTAGTATGCTTTACACGTGAAAAGCTCACTCACTTACCAATGTCATCAAGGAGAATATTCTCAGGCTTTAAGTCTCTACAAAGGAAAAGACACAACAAAAAGCTCAGTTATTCACAGGCAACGCTGACTCTTCAACACCAGCAGTAATAACCACAGATGCCTCTGCCCTGAGCAGCAGCAAGGCCAGAGATAACAAGACCACGCTTTGTGGGTCAGCTCACGAGTCCTTCATGCCGTCCCCGGGAAGGACAAGGACCCCACAGAGGATTCGGCTCAGCAAATACCGTGCACGTAACAGCAGTGAGCAAACGGCTCCGCACGTGCCCGCGGATCTAACTGAAGGTCAGTGATGCAACGTACAGCCCGGTAGTAAGGCATTAGACTGTAATGAACTTGGCTCAACTTCTCTTATCATTAATATACTTTTTAAAACATCGGCGAGCTCTGAGGGGAAGACAGGCATGAATCCAAACCCCAGCTCTGCCACTTGTCCACTGTGGGGCCTTGACTGTCCAGGTCTCCGTGTCCTCACCCGTAACACAGCGCCATCCACACCCACCCGCTTCCTGATGAGGCAGGTCGGGGAGCTCAGGCCTCGCAGTGGGAAGTGGGTAACCAACAGCAGTGACTTTTATTCGTAGTTCATTGTGATGGGGGGGGGCGGATACCACAAGCTTGAATAAATATAGATCACTAAAGACTAACGTATCTTAAATGTAGTATTTCAAGCTGCTATTTGTTTGCTTCTTCCCTTAGAAAAAAATTATTTTTCAAAGGATTTATATTTAACCCTGATTTCCATTGTGACCCTATCACAACACTCCATATCCCCTGAGCATCGCCCCCGATCTGTGGCCAAATGACTGGAACCTACAGAGGGAGCGGAAGCAGCGGGACAGACAGCTGTGAGACCAAGGGTGGCTGGAAGGCGGCTGGCCTCTGGAAAGCTCTGTAGAGAGACGGCCCCACAGACCAGGAGCAGCTGAAGCTAGAGTGCAGCCCCGCACAGCCTACGGCTGCACTTCGTGTAAACCCTGCTTGGGCCGACACCCACAGCCCCCGCGAAGGAGAGAAGCTGCCCTGTTCCAGGCTCAGGGAGGTGAGAGGCTGCAGAGAAACATTTCCTGTAGCAACACCCACGCCACTGTGGTAACGTCTCTCTGGGGACAGAGGCCAGCGGCAGAGGCCTGGGGGCCTTCTGTGTTTGCAATTTCTGTTCTTCCTCTTCTTCTTTTTTTAAAAATTTATTTACTTGGGGACACCTGGGTGGCCCAGCTGGTTAAGCGTCAGACTTTGGCCCCGGGTCATGACCTCACAGTTCGTGGGTTCAAGCCCCACGTCGGGCTCTGTGCTGACAACTCAGAGCCTGGAGCTGCTTCAGATTCTGTCTCCCTCTCTCTCTCTCAACAATGAATAAATGTTAAAAAAATTTTTTTTAATTTACTTATTTTTGAGAGAGAGAGAGAGAGAGAGCAAGCGAGCATGAGCAGGGGAGGGACAGAGAGAGAGGGTGGGAGAGAATCCTAAGCAGCTCGAACTCAAGAACCATGAGATGGTGACCTGGGCTGAAATCAAGAGTCTGATGCTTAACCTACTGAGCCACCCAGACACCTCTGCATTTGTGTTTGCATTTTATAGCCCCACGCATCTGCTCTTGCATTATCTGGGTAGAATGACAAACATCTTTTTCCTTTATTCTTTTCTGTATTAAAAAAAATCTTAGTAAATGTTATTAAAAAATAAAAGGAGTCTTTCTTGACCTGGAGCTTCCACAGCCTCCTTGTGATATAGATTTACACTCAACATCAACACAACACGTGCCCACCCAATTCCTAGAACCGGCTCACGGGACATCCCCAGCCTCACTGCTCCCCGCAGAGCCGATCACAGTACAAGCAGCCCACCTGCTTCCCCCTTACCCCCAGGCCTTCTGACCCCAGGGCACAGCCCCTGCCCCAGGCCCTCCCTCCAGCTGCACACTCGGGGCCACCATGCACAGCCAGGCCGCTTGCTCCCAGAGGAAGCGTGCTCCGTCTGTCTCACAAAGGAGTTAACAGTGGAGGCGGCCTGCGGGCCAGCTCCCCACACGTGCCCCGACCATGCTTACGCGGCACAGGCACCATCCCCTGTGGGGGCTACAAAATCTCTGGCAAGTAGCTGTGGGCGGAGTGCGAGTCTCAGGACGAGCAAAGCGCAAGGGGTCGAATGGACGCTCAGGACAGGCTGGGACAGGCTCCAAAGCACCCCCGCTGCACGCTGGGCATGTATGAGCAGTGGCCACGTGTTGTTTCTCCCACCTTCCTCCAAAAACGATTTCTCCAGGCTTTTAATCAGCTTAATGGCTGTTTTCACGCATCTCCACGTCGGAGCTCGGGGTGTCCTGTGGAGGACACTGGGCCACGCCCCCCACTGGCCACTCACTCAGCCTCCGGGGCTTGGCTTCCTCACTGTCCAGTGAAGGGGTTTCCTAGTGATCTTTCCAGCTCCTTTGGCGCCAGGAGCACACACTGACGTCAGCATGGACGTCAGCAAGGCTGAGGTTAAAAACAAGCGAAGTTGTCTTCTCACACGTGTACAAGCCCCCACCTCCCAGCCTGCTGACTTGGGTGTCATTTGCATATAATTTGCTCTGCTCTCAAGCCATTTAAAAGTGATCTTACACCCCCGTGCTCTGGTGCGCCAGAAGCTCATCTCCTGGCTTCACATCCATCCTCTTCTTTCTTGTTAAAGAAATATTTGCCATCTGGATCCCATTTCTCAGCCTGCTACTGAGGCAAGAATTACCATAAGAAATTGATTTCTGGAGGCTGAGGCTCGAGCGGCTCATCCGCATGACTTCCTCCCTTGTCCCAGTCCTTTGCCCACATCCCAGTGTCCTGCTTCCCCCGGTGACCCTCTGTCTTCCTGGACCTGCCTGGTCCTGCCTGTTAGCCAGCCTCTCCTGGGGAGCGAGGCTGTGCACGAGCGATCTGCTGGGCACACCCTGAGGGTCAGGTGAAGAGAACGGCAAGGGCTGGCCCGGCCACAGGTGAGGGTTTCTGAAACTGCAGCAAAACTGGAACTTCAGCACAGTCTAAATAGGCTCTGGTCTTGGGACACAGCTCCGCCCCGATCAGAAGGCATCAGGAGCAAGGTTCTTGATCAGTGGAGGGGGAGAGTAAGGAAACAAAGGCAAAACTAACTTTGGCTAGTTCCCTAGTGTTCCCTGAAACATTCGTCAAGATAACAGGGCTCACTAGCCTCAGGGCAAGATTCTAAGGTCCGTCCCCACCCCCTGTCATCCCACCCTGCGTCCCACTTCAGAAAAGCTCACCTGCCCAAGACAGCCTCCAGGGAATGGATCTGTTAGTTGCTATTGTTAGAGGCAGAGGCCACTACGGGGCAGAAATGTGCAATCTGGAAGGATGTGGGTCATATACAGATTACTAGTTCTTTTAAACATTAGGATCTGCCATTCTCACTTGAAATTGACTTCCATGTTTCAAAAACGATGAAAACAGGAGATTATCCTTTGAAGCACTTATTGTAAACGGTAGTTATATCTCTATTTGTGTGTATTTATGTGTGCACTTGCACACTACCCTCCTAGCCTCTTGGTTATAAGTTTCCTGAACACAGGGACTTCAAAATCCAATTGGTTCCTCAGAGTATGCTTCCAGTATGCAACTGGTAAGTGTGTATACATCTGGGACTCAATATACATTCCTGGAATGACTGAATGAATGATCCTTCCTGCTACTGAAAATCTAACGTGATAGCAATCATCTGTACTAATGGCCTGTATGGGCCAATTCACTACTGAAAAAGCGTAGGTCTAAGCTGTTTCCTTCCCACTGTCACTCTCCTGCACACCAACCGCCTTCTCCTTATGGCGATTGATATTAATCTACTTTTCAATCCACAGCTCATTCATTAGAAAAAGAAATCCAATGCACAACTAAACATCCATTTCCCTTAACAATTTCCAACTATAGCATTCCAGACAGGTGAAAATTTCATCTTGCTCAATTAGGGCAGAGTCAACTTTCTTGAGAAACGTAACAAAACAACAAAACAGGTTAAGATTCAGGTTTTCTGTCCTGCTATGGGAGAGTGCAGCACAAAGCATAGAACACAGGACCTGGGTCAGTGTCCACCATTCACAGAGAAGGTGACAGGGGACCATCTCTCTTATCATGATCCCTCAAAATTGTTGAGAAGATTACAATGTATGCCAAAGTGCTTGAAAATGCTGTGTGTTCTACAAATAAGTGTTATTAGTATATATCTTGACCATATCCAGCAGCATCTTTTGTTATTCATATGATTTTCTTTAAATACAGTGATACGTGGAAATAAAGTAAATGGGCATGTACCACAAATTTAACTTGTTCGTTATTATAAAATAAAATTCTGTAGACATCATCCTGATTGAAGAACTACTTTTAGTTTTGTGAAAATGAGTAAAAGGAAGCCTCATTTACCATGGAGTCGGGTGGCCAGCAGGGGGAGCGCTCAGCCCTGCCGCTCCCGGGCAATTGCAGACCCACCCGGAAGGGACGCACCTTGCAGCTGGATTCCACCGCAGCTCCTACTTTACTGTAGGAGGGAGGAAGGTATCCTCCTCCCCCAGCAACAGCCCAGCCAATAGGAGACTATCAGAGTCTCAACCAATAAGAGACTGCCATAGCCCAGCCAATGAGAAGCCAGTACACTTCGACCTCGCAGTTTCAACCAATGGACTTTCCGCTTACAACAGTCCTTTCCTCTATAAAAGAGCGTCCTCTCCTTTGTTCTGCGAATTCACCTATGGTTTTCTTCAGTGCGTGCCTGCGATTGTAGTTGTTATTCCAAATAAACCTATTTTTGCTGGAAAGGTAATTGGCAGTTTTACTTTTAAGGTTAACAGAGGTTAATATCTGACACTGCCGTCTAAGCACACTTGGGCCTCGGCCCAGCGGTGTCCAGGGCACGGCGTTTGCAGGACACCCGTGCCCGAGCACGGAGCACAGGGAGCACGGAGCACACGGACACGGAGAGCACGGAGCACAGACCACACGGAGCACGGGGAGCACGGAGCACATGGAGCACAGGGA